GCAGGAAGGTTTCTAGGGAGGCACAATCCTTTTGAAAGTAAGGAAACTTAAATCTCAATTTTTTTCTAGCTGCAGTTTTGATGTTGGTGTTACAGCAATTGTAGTAGGAGTAAGACCCTGATCACCAAAGTGTATTTACTTCTACACTTTTCCTTCATAACTTGCATGTAACTCTCTAATTTTACTTACCCCTTTCTAGGACCAGTATAGTATTAGATCCCTAATATATTAGTGTTCCCTTTACAGACAGTAAGGAAGATAGATATAAGCTCAGAACCCTTGTTGCTAAAAAGAATCTTGCATCTTATTATTATATCATATTTGCTTCCAAAATGGATTTAAATCACGATTTCATTATATACATGTATTTAGTAAAATACTGTAACAGAAATCACGGTATTAAAAAAGCAAATTTGAATTAATGAAACATTAAATTTAGATCTGAACTTTCTAGCCACGAAGACAAAAATAAGGACCTAAGTAGCATATTTTATATAAGAGACAGATTCCAAAGATTCAGGCTCTTTTCTGCTATTAAATTCTAAAAGGAATTCATCATACGGAATCTTTTTTTTATAAAAGGGAGCATTAAACTATATAGTATCTTCAACAATAATTTTACAATACAAGAAGTTCCTCTATGTGGGAGTTTTTAAACAGAGACCTTAATAAAAGCATTTATTGAAGCAGTGTGTTGGAGAGGATAAATTAAAATCATCCAAGCATAAGATTCAACTTTGTATAAGAATTTACATTGAGTATAGCATGTTCCTTAAATGGTCTTCTTTGAAATATTTTCTTGACCCTATGCCAGTGCCTCCTGCCATGGTTGAATCACCTTCAAATTTATATCTAGATGTCTGGCACTTGTATTAGTGTTTCTATGATTTAAATTTTACATTTACACCTTTGAGCTACCTGGAACTTTAGTTTACAAAGTAAGATAAGAATCTAAATTTCTGTTCTCTCCAACAGTATCAATAAATAGTATTGATAGAGAATCAACAAATATGGTATTGATAAAGAATATATGTCAATATTCATTTATTGAATAAGCTATCATTTCTTCTAATGATATGAAAAGCTGTTTTTTTCATGTGCAAACTTTCTACATGGACTTAAGTCTGACTCACAACATAAAATATACAATGGCCAATAAATATATGAAAAAGTGACCAAATTCACTAATACTTTTAAAATACAAATTTTAATATTTAGAGGTATTTTTTCATTTATGAGATTGGCAGTAGCTCAAACATTTGTCAACATCCAGTAGTGGTGAGGACATAAAGGGAAGCAAGTATGTTCATACATTTTTGAAGAAAGTATAAATTGGTACATATTTATTATTAGAGGATTTTTTTTCTACAAAGCACTTAGAACAGTGTCTAGTACATGCAAAGTACTATATGAGGGTTTGTTATCATTATCATCAGCTTTATTTGCTAATAACTATTAAAGTAAAAATGTGCATATCCTTTACCTAGAAATTCTAGAAATTTCTTCTGTAGCAAAACTTGTACAAACAGATAGATATATTCATAGATATATCTATATCAGCCACATAAGAATGTTCCATGCAGTACTTTTTATACTAAGGGAAAAAATGGAAAAATCCCGAGTGCCCATCAAGAAGGGATTACAGTGCTACACATCCATTTTTAAATAGAGATCACATTTTAGTAACAAAAAAGGATATCCAGATAAATCATTAAGCAAAAAATCAAATTTTTACATATGTGTGTGTATGAACCATTTTTGAAAACAAAATTTATATAAGTTTGTCAATGCATAGATTTTGGAAGACATACTAAAATATAGGCATTATCTTTGGGAGTTTGGGTTATAGGAACCTATCATTTTTTATGGTGCAAATTACTTGAGTTTTTACAATGAACTTGTTGTTTTTTAGATAATGATTACTTATTTAGAAGATAATAAACCACTGAAGAATAATGTTAATATAAAACCACTCATCATCTTACCATAATGCAACTATCAATTTCTACCAATACTGTAAAACTTATACATTATGTTTCTGTAGGTAACTACTAGGTCCTATGCCTTCCTATACATTATTTCAACTAGCCTTTAAACTTTTTCTTAAGAAATATTTCAAACATAGGAAATGCAGAGAATAATATAACAGATCATATACCTACAACTTAGAGTTAACATTTTACCACCTTGGCTTTAGGCTTTTTAAAAATTACAGAAATCTCTTTCCTTTCCAACACACGCTCCTCCCTTTGCTGTCTATCTATGCCCATGTCTGAATGTACTCTAAAGGATTTATATACTTTACTATTCATTGAAACAGTTTATGTATGATAGGTTTTTCTGATGCCTGATAGTTTGGGTAAATTTCTATAACTTTAGGTTTACTTATGTTTTCTATTTCTTTATTCAATTTTGGCAATTCATTTTGTCTTGAAAATTATCAGTTTAATGCACATTTTCAAATTGCTAACATAATTTATCCATACAAATCTCTGTAGTACCCATAGTTATGGTCCTTTTTTATTTCTAACACTGATTATTTGTGCCCCGTCTCTCTTTTTCTTAACCACTCTGAATAGAATTTGATACATTTCATTAGTCTTCAAACAACCATCATTTGGACTAGTGAGATATAGTATATGAGGTGACTAAGAATGACATCTTTGGAGTCAGACTGCTTGCATTCAAATCCCAGCTTTATCACTTATCAGCTGTGTGGCTTAGGGAAAGTTACTTAACCTGTTATTCTCTCTGTGTATGCCCATAAATTTAATAAATTAGATGAAATGAACCAGTTCCTTAAAAGGCACAAAGTTCACTCAAGAAGCCAATAACCTGAATATTCCTAAATCTTATAAAGAAATTGAGTTGTATTTAAAATCTTCCTCCTACCCCAACAAACACAAAAATCTTCAATACAGATTTCTAGTGAATTCTACCAGTCATTTAAGGAAGAAATAATACCAGTTTTATACAAACTCTTTTATATAATTAAAAAGGAAGGAATTCTTTTCAACTCATTCGTTTAAATCAGAATTACTGCTACCAATACCCAACAAAGATATTACAAGAAAAATAAATAAATAAATAAAACAAAAACCTACAAAAACATAGATGCAAAAATTTAAAACAAATTTTAGTAAATTGAATTTAACAACATATAACAGCAGTTCTCAACTAGGGATGATTTTGTCCTCTAGCATGACATCTAGCAATGTCTGGAGGCATTTTTGGTTGTCACAGCTGGGGTAAGGGGAGTAGTGCTACTGGCATCTAGTGGGTAGAAGCTAGGGATGCTGTTAAACATCTTAAAATGCACAGGACAGTAACAAGGAATTATCCAACCCCAAATGTTAATATTGCCAGGGTCAAGAAATGCTAATATATTAAGAGGATAATACATCATGACCAAGTGGGGTTTCCTCAGGAATACAGGCTTTCAAAAATCAATCAATATAATTAATTGTATTAAAAACTAAAAAAGTTAAAGCCCTCTCAAAATAGTAGAAGATTTGACAAATTTCAAGTCATTCTCTTTTAACATTTATTTTCAATTACAGATGACATACAATATTATATTAGTTTTAGATTTGCAATATACTGATTAGACATTTATGTAACTTCCAACATGATCACTCCAATAAGTCTAGTACCCACCTAGCACCATACATAGTTATTACAATATTAGTGACTATATTCTCTATGCTGTACTTCTCTGTGACTTCAACAGTCAATCTTGATAAAAACTTTTGGCAAAATAGAAATAGAAGAGAATTTAACCTGATGGAGGACATCTAGGAGAAGCCTACAGATGAAATCATGCATAATTGTAAGAGGCGAAATGTTTTCTCTCTAGCATCAGGAATAAGAAAAGATTTCCACTCTAACCACCTCTGCGCATTGTATTAGAAGTTTTAATTGATGCAGTAAGTCAAGGAAAATACAGAAAAGGCATGCAGATTGGAAAGAAAGAGGTAAAACTGTCATTATTCACAGATGACATGATTGTCTATGTAGAATCTGATGGTATCTAAAGAAAAAGCTACTAGAATAGTGAGTTTAGCAAGGTTAAAAGATACAGGGGAAATATACAAAAATAAATTATATTTCTGTGTACTTGCAATGAGCAATTAGAAATTATAGGGAGCATTTGAGATCTTGTTCCCTGGAATATGTTGTCAGTTAGGCTCAAATAAACTAGTAAAAAAAAAAAAGATGTTAAAAGTATAAAAACAAAGGCATTTATAAAAGCTTCCAAAGATTAAATAATTATAAATAGATCTGACAAAATATGTAGAGGACCTGTATACTGAAAATTATAAAGCATTGCTGAGAGAAATTAAAGAAGCTGTAAGTAAATGGAGAGAGATAGTGTTCACGGGTCAGAAGACTCAATATCATTAAGATGCCAGATTGCTCTATGGATTCAGTGCAATTCCAATCAAAATTACAGCATGCTTTTTAAGAAATTAAAAGGCAGTGGCTCTGAAAATTAGATCGTCAATTTGAACCAAAGCCCACAAAAGCAGGCAAGAATCTCTATGCTAAACCTAAACAGGGCAACAGCC